AGGGCGCGAAGCCCGCCGCGTCCGTGCGCCCCGCCGCCGCCCCCTCGGGCCGCGCGTTAAAGGGACGGCGAGCCCTGCTGCGCGCGGCCGTGGGGGGCGCCAGAGAGCGGCGGGCGCCAGAGAGCGGCGGGCCTGACGTCACCGGGCTGCCCGCGGCAAGGGGCGGGGCTGCGCACGCGCGGGCGCGGCGAGGGCGGGGCCTCCCTGCCTGCGTCCAGGCCGGGAAGCCGTGGCGCGCGCGTCCTGCGGCCGCCGCGTGCACAGGCCGGCAGCCCTCGGCTCCCGGCTCTCGGCCCTTGGGCGGCCGGGGCGCGCCCCGCGGGGAGGAGGTGGGTGGGGGCCCTCAGGAAGCTCTGCACCCGGCCTGGAGCCCTCGGAGGGGTTCCGCGCGGCCAGGCTCCGGTCCTCCTCCTCTTAAGAGTCCGGAGGCGCCGTGGTCACATCGGCGGGGTGCGGGGGAACCGCGGGAAACAGAATTGTGTCCGGGCCGGAGCCGAGGACAGTCGGTCACATTGCGCCCCCGCGCCAGCTCCGAGCTGGCGCGCCCTCTACCGGGTCACACGGGGGCTCCGAGAAACACGGGCCAAGGGAATGCCGGTGCCCCCGTGGACGAGGGAATGCAAGTGTGAGCACGTGTATGTGATGCTCAGGCGACGGCGGGGTCAGCGCGGGCAGGTGTGCGCACGCAAGGGCACGGTGCTTCTGGCAGCAGGTGTAGGGATTCTTTTCCCGGCCGCTCTCCATCGAACCTGCCTGGGGTCCTCCTGCCTGGGGTCAAGGGAGACGCGGAGCAGCGCCCCTCCGGCTGTGAAGGGTCCAGCCCAATGGGGAGAGCGGCTCTCCCTACCCCCCACCCAAGGAGGAAAACTTGAGGCCACTAGAAGGAGGCCCACGCTGGCAAGAGTGAGAAGGGAGAGGCCCTAGGATGCGGCCTGAGAGTTATGCCGGTGGGCGGCACATGCTGCTCTGAGGCCCGTCCCCAGCGCCCCGCCTTGAAGCTGGCTGGAGCTGAGACTCTCCCATCTGTCGGGTCACGACCATCCTCACGCAGTGGGCCAGCACAAGAGGAGACCTCATTAGTCCATCACTGACTGGAGGAGCTAGAGTTTGGCCATAAGTCCCTGAGTCCAGGCCGGGGACCACCCCCAGGTGAGCCTAGGCAGGGGTCCTGACCTCCACTCCCCTGGGCTCTGTGAGGTGGGCACCCGCTCAGCCAAGCCTGGGCCTTCTCCCCTTGGGGCTCAGTTTCCCCAGGCAGGACTGCCTTAGAGGAAGGGTCCGCCATGGCTCTCTTCTGGGTGCTCAGGGTTAGGGAGGAAAACCCTGAGAGCTCACCGGGGGACCAGATCCCCCAGGCCAGGCACAAATGGCTGCCAGTCACACAGATGCAGGGGCTCTGATGCCTCAGCTGCACTCCTGCCCCTCAGCCCAAGCCACAGGACAGAGGCTGGTAGCCAGAAGCCAGTCCCGGGACTGATGCTCATGTGGTCGGGCTGGGGCCCTGCAAGGGGCCTGAGTCTGTGGCCAGAACCTGAGTCCTGACAGGAAGGGCCTTGTCCAGTGGCATGGGGCCACTGGGGCCGGGGGTCACTGGGCTGGGGGGAGTCACAGCTCCGTGCCCCAGCCTCCCTCCTGTTGCCACTGTGGGGTCCTTGTGGGGGTGTGACGAGAGAGCAGCTATTTTGAGTTACTGCCCAGGTGTTTCACTGTATGACTGTCCTGCTTACACCCAGAGCCTGGACATTCAGATGAGGACCAACGCTCAGGACTCCCACCCCAAGTTCCTGCCTTGCTTTTCCTGGGCACCTTTTAAAATAACCACTCAGAGCTGAGCCCATGAAAGTCAGTGACTGCTGCTGCAACCACCTTACAAGTTCTAGGTGCTTGCTACCCTGCTGGCCATCTCCTGGTCACTGGTGACCTGGATGGAGGACTGCCCTTCCCCTGGCTCCCTGAGCACACACACCGCCACCCAGTGCGCGCACGCGCACACACACACACCCAGCGCACACGCACACACACCTAGCACACACACACACCCAGCACACGCACACACACACACCCCACCCAGCACGCACGCGTGAACACACACACACCCAGCGCACACACACACACCTAGCACACACACCCCCACCCAGCGTGCGCGCGCACACACACACACCCAGCACACACACACACACACACGCCCAGCGCGCACACACACCCACCCAGCGTGCACACACACACACACACCCAGCACACAGACACCCCCTTCCCCCCCCAGGATCTGTAAGGAACACATTTCGTGACTCTTTGTGTGAGGGCTTGAAACTGGGCCTTCATCAAAATGACCCCGGGGTTTTCACCTCCTCCAGGTACGAGCTCGGATGCAGAGGGAGCCCCCTGTGGGCCACCCCCCCCACCCCGTGTGGGTGGCTCGTGCTTCCTCATTCGGAAGGTCATGATCTCAGCCCATCGCTCTGGGTTTTCCAACTTAGGGTGACAGTCGCCCCTCCTGCCCCCTGCTGTCCCTGAGGGCCTTGGAGGATGGGGTCAGGGTTGGAGAAACAGGCTTCTTCCTACCTCGGCTCCCTTCCCTCCCCCTCCTGTCCTGCTGGCACCCCTCTGAGGGCGCTCCCGCTAGCTCCCGCTACCTGCTTCCTCCCCCTTTTTCCTCACTCGTTGAGCCCATCCTGGCATCTGCTTCTCTTCTCAGAGGACTGAACTGATACAGTCTGCCCTCTGTCCTCGCGTCCAGTAAGCCCTTGGAAGAGGATCTGAAACTGCTTCACAGCCAGGAGCAAGTGCACACAATCAGCTCCGACGCTGCCCTTCTCAGGACACCCAGACCCAGACTTCCCACCCAGAGGAATGGGTGATGACAGTAGGACTCCAGATGAAGGAGAACACTTGGGGGTCCCCAAGGGCTAGACTCTGCCCCCCGGGGAGATGGACGGGAGCTGTAGAGGCACAGCTGGGGCCAAGTCTAAAATCAGATGTGGTCTTTATTGAGATGATAGCGATTCCCCAGGATGAGCAAATGTGGGGTGTCAGGAGTGGCAGCACCAGCCACTCTAAGACCATCCTCACCGCCCCCCCCCGCCCCCCATCCTCAGCCAAAACGCAGTCCAATGAGGCCTCAGCCTGGACTCCAGCCCAAGGAGGGGCCGAGGGAAGGGAGTCAGGCTCGGAAGTCACATGGAGCCTAGTGACTGTCAAGGCAGCTTGCTGGAAACAGGGCCGAAGCAGGGTGGGAAGCAGAGAGGGGGCCCCAGGAGGCCGGAGGCAGCGCAGAGGGACACTAGCCCCGGGCCTGCAGTGCGCGGTCCTCGGGTTACCATGAAGAGCCCAAGACAGCCTGGCAGCGAAACTCGGGGTGCCGTCGAGGGGAGCTGGCAGGCAGCTCCCCTAAGGACAGGGCAAGGAAGGGGTGGGAGTGCCAGGCCTGAGGCTGAACCCCAGCTCCAAGGATCCCCACTGAGCCCCCTCACGGCCCTCTCCCTGCAGAGGTGGGGCTCCCAGCCCCCAGTGGGCAGAGGCCAGGAGAGCCTGAGAGACTGGTGAACATCAGCGGGGTCGTGGCCATGCGAGGAGGGAAGAGCACCGGCCGAGGGCTGCAGAAGGGGCCCGGCTGCAGTGCCGGCAGAGTCCTAAGGAGCCCACGATCGCAAATGAGGATCAGGTGGCCCCCAAGAGGGGTCTGGAGGCAGCCTCACCCTGCACCAGTCCAGGCCAAGTTCCAGGACAGCGGGACCAGCCGCTGGAAGGGGGGCCAGGCGAGCTGCATGGGGGTCAGGAAGAGTCTTCCGAGGTGGACAGACAAGAGCTGGCAGAGCTGCTGGCCCAGCCAGGAGCCCGGGGTCGCCTTATTTGCAGTACTCCTTCCTGAACTCTGGAAGCCAAGGGGACAGGCGGGTGTCTGCCCTCCGCCCCTCTGCTGCGGGGGAAACAGGGCAGACTACCATCAGGGCTGCCCAGGGACTTCGGGGGCACTGAGGTGGCAGGGGACTCCTGCCCGCAGGGCTGGCTGGTGCCTTGGGGCTCTGAGTGGGTGGCAAGGGATACAGCCCAGCTCTGAGATGGGCAGGGGTCTCCCCCCGCACCTCAGCTCACCTTTGTCCAAGTCGATGCTCTTGGCGGGCAGGGGGCTGTGGGACAGCTCAACCCTCTCCTTCAGGAGGTTGTTTTTGTAACCTGATGCAGGGAGAGAGCAGGGTGAGGTCTCAGAGACGTGCCTCCCTCACCCCAGGCCTGGGAGCCACAGTCTGTCTCTTTGGTCTCCCTCACCTAGTCGGATGTCCTCCCTCCTGTAAAGAGGCTGGTCGCCGGCAGCCACAGCAAACTCCACCATGTTCACGTCCTTCCTGGAAGCGGGAGGGTGGTGGGAGGTTAGAGCGGTGGGCAGGTCTGCCTGGTCCCCGGGAGAGCCGGAAGGGGCACTCACCCCTTGGACTTGGACTTCTTGTCGGAGTATTCGTAGCCTGGGGAGGGAGAGTCGTGTTGGGAGCAGCCTCCCCCTTCCCCAGCGCCCCCCCCCCCCCCGGCCCACAGGAACCCTCACCCTCGCAGCCCAGGCAACGAGGCTCATGGGGCCCTCTGCTCGGACCACTGCGCCCCAAGTCCCGCCTCCGGCCGGGAAAGGCTTCCCAGTGCTGGCCTCAGCCCCGGCGTCGCGAGTCCCCCCCCCACCCCCCGCTCACCTCCGCGGCGGCGCTGTCGGGTGGCCAGGATGACCGTGATGAGCAGCAGAATGAAGAGCAGCAGCGTGGCCAGCACGTAGCCCAGCTGCTGGAAGAAGTGGGCCCGGCCCTCGGGGACGATGACGTTGATGACGCTGCGGCCGCGCGTCAGCGTGGGGTCTGCGGGGGCCGGGCGGGGACCGTGTCAGGGAGCGCGCAGCGCGCCTACCCGGGCCGGCCTCAGCCCTCGGGGCCCTCCCCCCGCAACGCTGGAGTCCCTGATTTGGGGCCGGAGGGGGCCACAGACGTGCCTCCTGCACCTGGGCCGGGCGCGCCGCTGTGGCTGGAACCGTTGCCCGGCGAGTCCCGCGGGGGCGGCCGGGCGGCGGGCTCGGTGACCTTCAGGTGGAAGACGCGGCGCTCGTGCAGGCCGCAGTAGTGGTGGTGCAGGTGGCAGGAGTAGGTGCCCTCGTCTGCCGGCTCCAGCGGGTCAATGCGCAGCGAGAAGTCACCGCGCGCAAAGGCGTCCGCCCCCACCGCCACGCGCTCCCGCAGGAAGGGCGGCCCGTAGGCGCGGCGCTCGCCCGACGCGTACAGGTCGAGCAGGCGGTCCGCGCGGTCGTGCGGCACCCCGGGCGGCTGCCGGTCCCAGTGCACCACCTGCTGCGCCTCCTCCAGGTGCCGGTCGGTCCACACGTGCGCGCGGTTCACGCACGTCAGCAACGCGGGCGCGCCGCGCTCCACCGCCAGCACCTCCTTCTCGCCGTCCCAGTGCGCGCCGGCGGCCCGGGCTGGGGGAGCGAGGCCGGTCAGGGACCCCGGGCCGGGAGGGTGCCCGGAGGGAGCGGGGCGGGGGGTGGGGGCAGGGGTGGGAGAGCACAGGCCGGGAGTGGGACACACTCACGGTCGTCGGTGACCTCGAGGCGCACGGCCAGGCTCTCGTAGAGGTGGCAGTAATGGTGGTGCAGGTTACAGGTGTACAGCCCCTCGTCTGTGTCCTCCACCGCTACGCACCGGGGGAACCCAGCAATGAGCTCCGCGGCCTCGCCCGCGCCCCCGCCCGCGCCCCCGCAGCCCCGCCCCCTCTCGGTCCCTCGGGCCGTACCGCGGATGAGCAGCGAGAAGTTGCCGTCCTGGAAGGCGGTGGGGGTCAGCAGCAGGCGGCCGCTGTCGCGCGGCTCGTACACGCGCTGCTCGCCCGCCGAGTACATGTCCACGAGTCGGCGCGCGGAGCCGCCGGCCGGGCCGCCGCTGAGGTCCCAGTGGACCACGCGCTGGCGGTCGTGCAGCCGGTCTTGCGTCCACACCATGCGCGGGCTCTGACAGCGCAGCACCGCCCGGGCGCCGGCTGCCCAGCTCACTGCAGACTCGGACACCACGGAGCTGCCGGGGGTCGCGGGCCCGGCTGGCCCTGGTGGAGAGGGGAAGTGACCGCGGGAGGGGTGAGACCCAAGGGGACAGATACAGGATGGGGCTAGCAAGGGTTCCCAGGGGAGGGTGGTCACTAACCTGAGGACAGAAGGACAGAAGAGCCTGGAAGGAGAGGAAGCAAGAGTCATACTGTGGAGGGGTCACCCACCCGAACCGGCCCCCACTTGGCTCCCTGGGCCCCTTCGGTAGTCCTTGCTGAGGTGGGTGCTAGTGACACCCTCTTAACAGGTGGAGGTAAATCCAGAGAAGCCGGGAGGGCAGAGGCGGGGGTCTCCTTCCCCCCCACCTCTCCCAGGCCCCCGCTTAATCCTCATGGCCATCTGCCCAGGCTGCGGGTGAGTGGTGGGGCCAGGCCAGCTCTGTATGTGTGCCTGTCACCAAGCGCCACATTCAGGAATGGTGGCCACCCTAAACATCACTGCAGCAAGGCCACAAGAGTACCAGCGCCTGACACCTTGGGCTGGTTTGCGGGGCTTCTGCACGTGCATATCCGGAGTGGCACCTGCCCGGGGGCCATGCCTCACAAGCCCGCCCTCCAGGGTCCTCAGACGGCTGGCGCCCCACCCAGGAGCCCCCTCGGCCTTCCCGAAGGGCAGAGGTCTGAAGCACGAGAAGGCTGGAAGTGGGGAGTGACCCCACCATCTGCCACCCCACACGCCAAATTCCTGCTCCAGAGATGTGGCCCGGTGCCCAGCCGGATGGAGGAATGTGCCGGGTCAGCAGGCCAGCCCGGCAGGGGTGGGGTGGGGGGGGGGTGAGCTCCGGGGCCTGGGAGCAGACCCTGCGAGCCCCCCTCAGTCCCCCACCCACTCCCCTCCTGACAACAGAGAAGCACAGGCCTGAGGGGCGTCCCAGAGAAGTCGGGGGGCGCCAGGGAGCCCAGGAGGAGCCCCCGCCTTGGCCTCCCTCCCTGCCCGGCCCGTCTCCAGCGTCCAGTGAGGGGAAGTTCTGTGGGACCTGACGTGAGGCCTCACCACCTCCACGTCCTGGGGGCCTTCTCGTGGTGAGCAGCTCCCTCTGAGGCCCCCAGACCCACCCCTTCCCAGCTGAGGCACCCCCCCCCAACCCTGGGCTCGGGCTCAGACCCACCAGCGGCTCCCGCCCCCCGACCCCGCCCCCACACCCGAACTCACTCTGCAGAAGCACAAGTTTCCAGAGCAGGACCCGGGCCCGCAGCTCCATGGCGCCTGCCTGGCCCGCCTGGCCCGCCGGCGCTTTGTCTCACTCAGGCTCTAACTCTCCAGAAAAACAGCCCGGCCCCCTCCCCCTCCCCCTCCCCTCCCCAGCACCCGCTGTGACATCAGAGCAGACCGCCCCCTCCGCTCCTGCCCGGCCCCTTGGCCTCCCCGCCTTCCCCCGGTCCTTGGTCCTTGGCGGGCCTGGTGGGAGGTGTCAGGCCTTGGCCACTGTGTTCCCAAGGGTGAGGGGAGTCACTCTGGCTTGGGTCCTGGAGAAGGTGGCAGTAGCCCAGCCCAGAAGGGGCAGGGGGGCCTGAGGGTATGGCCCCAGATGCCTTGTGGGTGTCTGTGACATACATACAGAGCCCTTCTGGGGCCACTGCAGGTCTGGGGTTCTGGGGGGAGTATCTCCTCACCAGCATCTCTGTAAGTGAACACTGGCCAAGGCATCCCCCCACTGCAGGAGAGCAGAAAGGCATCCTGGGTCTGACCCCAAGGACCCCAGGCTGCCAGACCACCAGGTCTTCCCGTTGGCCCTGTGGTGACCCTTCGCCTCTGGGGGCTGCGTTTCCTCAACTGTGAGGTGGGGATAAGAGTCGCACGGGCCCTAGGGAGGTAGGGGGGCCCCTTCCGGAGAGCATGATGGGCACTGCTGTTCATCAGTCATCTTCAGCCAGCCAGGGGGATGAGGGGTGAGGCCCCTGAGAGCTGAGCGGGGAGCCGGGTGACCCCCTGTCCTGGTGCCCCCACCCCATCTGCCCACCATCAAGAGCAGAAACACCACCCAGACCCAGGTACGGTGCTCCCAGGATCACCCCCCACCCCTCCCAGAGGGGAGGAAATGAAGTGGGGTATGGGAGCCTTCCCAACAGAAGGCACAAATTTGAAGCTCTGGGAAAACTTACAAAGTCACGTAAACAAATGTGAAATAACAGAGCATGCACTGTGTATCAAACCCACTCTTTCTAGTTAAGCAAACCTCAAAAAAAAAGAAAAGAAAAAAAATCCACCAAACTACCACAAAAACCCACGGTGCATTTTTGGACTGCCCATTTGGACTGAATTATGGTCACAGGCCCAGGCCCTGGTGGGCTGGAGTCTCTCTTGAACGCTGCCCTGGTCCCCAAGTCCTCAGACAAGCAAGGAGCCCAGCCCAGCCAGACTCTTGGGCTCCGGGCAAGGGGAGGAGGCTGCTGCTACTGCAGCAAGAGGGAATGAGGGCTGACAACAGGTAGGACCCACTGGGAGGACACAGGGCTGTGAGGACGCCCCACCCCCAACCTAACGGACCCATTTCCTCAGCAGGATCCAGACCCTGGGAGGCGGAGCCCCCTTTCCAAACTGGAATCAGGACTTGTCTCCGCACCCCACCCCCAGCTCCTCAAGGGCCTTTCATTCTGGATAAACAAGCCCTGCCTGGCTGGCCTTGAGGCCTGGCCTATCCTCCTGTTTTTCTAACTGGTTTATATTAGCACTGGTGGCCTCCTTCCCAGCCCTCCTCCCTCCTCTGCGCCCCCGCCCTTGTCTGTCTCTCTCCATCGGCCTCGACCGCTCTATTGCTCCATCTCAGGCCTCTGTTCCTGCCTCTGGCTGCCAGGCTGTCTCTCCTCCATAGAGGGAAGATGTCCAGGCAGGGCTGGAGGGAGGCAGAGACGGCCCAGGTCCGGCCCCTCAGTCTGGAAGGGGAGCAGGGTCAGCTCCCAGCGCTGAGCTAGGAGCCTGGAAGCACCCGGGCCACACCCTAACTCCCTGCAGAGCCCTCCCTCTCTCAGCCCTGCGTGGAGGTCGGTGGATTCCTGGCAACGCAGATCCAGCCCTCGGCTCAGCCCCAGTACAGAAGTCTGAAGGAGGAAGCACACTCCTGGCACCACTGGGCAAGGATGGACAGGGCAGGGGAAGGCTACAAACCCCTCCTCCCTGCCCCATCCTGTTCTCTCTGCTTGAGCCCACCTCCCCAGTCCTTGGCAGGAAATAGCCGCAGATGAGAACAGAGGCCCAGGAGAGAACAGACCGGAACTAAACGGCTGCAACATCACCATGGTCCTCCTGAGCTCCAGCCCAGCCCCAGCCAGACCAGAGCCCTGGACCCACATCCCCCTCCTAGGAGTCCAGGCCAGACAAGGCGGGTCAGCCAGCGAGCCCCACTGAGACAGACTCAGACTCTGGCTCCAATCCTGGGGACCCGGACATTCCAGGCAGCCAGGATCACTGGGAGGAGAAACCACAGGCACTCAGAGGCACAAGCAGACACACAGACACGTGTTCACACACGCTGTCATTCAGCAAACGCTGCGCACCTACTGTGTGCCAGGCACTGGGACTCAGCACCGCACCGGCTGCCAAGCTCCTGCCCTCTTGTAGCTGTTAGAGGGCAGACAGCCTGCAGACCCAGCTGCTGATGAATGAGGGCATTTTAAACATGGCGAGATTAACGCAGGTAAGGGGCTCCCTCAGCCAGACCAACCAGGACAGCCCCTCGGGGACCCACACCCACAAGTGAATAGCTAGGCTGGGGCCCAGGAAGCTGCCTGCCGGGTAGGGGAGAGCGTGCTGGGCTCTCACGTGAAGTACGATGAGGCCTAAGGGGGTTTACATGCGGGAGAGATGTGGTCTGATGATGCAGGAAACGCCAAGATGGTTAGTTTAGACCTGTCAGGATTTACACGAACACATCAGGGAAATGGACAGAGTTCTGAGATGCTCCCCAGGGCACCCAGCCCGTTTCCTCCCCCAGAGTGTGACCAACCTTGGCGGGATAGCCCTCCCTTCGCACCCACGTGACAGACGTGACTGCAAGTTGCTCCCTGAGGCAGAGTATGCATCTCAGCCGGACAAAAAGCCTCAGCTTCTCTGCCTGCTGGGCTGTGAAAGGGCCCATGGGGTTGACCCAAGTGCAAAACCCTGAGGCCCCAGCCACCCCCCCACCCCCCCACCCCCGCAAGAAGAAAATGGATCTCAGTCCTACAACCGCAAGGAACGGATTATGCCACCCACCAGATTAGCCTGGAAGAGGACCCCAGGTGAGGACACAGCCCTGCCGACACAGGTTTCCCCTGGTGAGACCCTGGGCCGAGCTCCCAGCAAACTCACACCCAGACGCGTGCCCCACGCAGCCGTGCGGTAACGAACATGCCGAGGGAAGCTGCTGAATTCGCGTTGATTTTTGATGCAGTAACAGGAGACAAATACGACTGTCTCCCTGAGCAAAGCAGGGGCAGGACTTAAAAGGACAAAAGCACAGGTCTCAGGGATGGTGTCTTGTTAGGGACTGGCTTGTGGGCAGGTCGCTGAGCAGCAGGGTCCCTGGGGTGTCCTTGGGAGCTGCGCTGACCCATCATCAGACAAGGTGAGGCCAGAGCGTGGGGCCGTGTCACAGGCCACGGCACTCGCCATGTCCCCCTCACGCTGCTTTTATGCTCATTCTGACCAGGTCTCGTACAAGCACCAGGTTACTTGTGAGTGTGTTGGTCCTTCTTCTGGGGACCTGGTGGCCTGCCCGGTGCCGGGGCTCACCCCGTGAGGCAGGGGCTCTGCAGGCCCCATGTCCGAAGAGCCGGGTGTCCCGTGGAGGCTCTCTTCTCCTTCCGGTGGAGACCACAGGTCAGACAGAGGCTGGGAGATCATCAATCCACTGAGACACTGATTCGAAAATACAGACGAGAAAATCTGGAAATATAGATCCATTATTTCATGGGCCAGCCAACCCTTTTATCTTGAGAAAATGTCAGGGAGCCAAGATCAAGGATTTTAGCGGTCGTGGTCAAACCCACATCAGTGGTTTCCTGCGTGGCATTAACAGGGTTCAGGCACCCCTCATTGTACTGCACTTCGCAGACTGTGCCCTTTTTACAAACTGAAGTTTTGGGGTGACCCTCTGTCAGGCAAGTCTATCAGTGCCATTTTCCCAACAGCGTTTGCTCACTTCATGTCTGTGTCACACTTTGGTAGTTCTCACATTATTTCAAACCTTCCACCAGCAAAAAATTCTGACTCGCTGAAGCCTCAGATGATGGTTAGCATTTCTTAGAGACAAAGTAGTGTTAAATTAAGGCATGTAAAATTTAAAAAAATATATATGGGACTTCCCTGGTAGTGCAGTGGTTAAGAATCCACCTGCCAACGCAGGGGACACGGGTTCGATCCCTGGTCTGGGAAGATCCCACATGCCGTGGAGCAACTAAGCCCGTGCGCCACAACTACTGAGCCTGCGTGCCACAACTGTTGAAGCCCGCGCGCCTAGAGCCTGAACTCTGCAACAAGAGAAGCCACCGCAATGAGAAGCCCGTGCACCGCAACGAAGAGTAGCCCCCACTTGCCGCAACTAGAGAAAGCCCACACGCAGCAACGAAGACCCAACGCAGCCAAAAATAAACAAATTTTTTAAAAAATTAAGGCATGTACGTTTTTTAGACATAATGCTATGGCACACTTAATAGCCTACACTTTAAACATAACTTTTATATGCGCTGGGAAACCAAAAGGTTTGTGTGCCTCGCGTGCCTGCGGTGGCCCGAACCGAGCCCGCAGCGCCTCTGACGCCTGCCTGCATCCCGTTTGGCTCGTTCTGTTCGTGAAGGTGCAGGGACGCCGGCCGGATTGTATGGGTCATAGACTCGAACCATGACCTCAGGCTCCGAGGTTGGCCATTGTATATTCTTCTCTCCCATCACGCCAGAAGTGTTTCCTTACCACCCTTATCGATTCATCAGTTTTGCAGCCAGGAATCAAGGACCACAGACCTGACTCCTAGCAGATTTCACCCGTGGTGCCTCTCACTGCGGGAGTTAACAAAGTTACAGAGTCCCCAGGTCCAGCTGGTTGCTGGCGCCTTGGGAAGGCCAGGGCTGACAAGCTTAGAGCAGCCACCAGGCTGGCTTCCTGGGGGCCGCGAGCGCTGCTTCCACGTGGACGGGCGCCCTGGGTCCCTGGCGCCTCACCAAGGAGATTTACCTTTAAATGCGATGCTTCCAGCAAGGGAGCCCCTTCACCACGGGTTCTGGTGACAGCGAGGCTCCCTTCAGCAGCTCTGCTTTATGAAGAGGGGCTCGAGCTCCCCACAGAGGGTGTGGGGGAAGCCACGGGAGGGAGGGAGGGTGGTCCGTGGTGTCCTGCCTTTAACACAGTCCCTCAGCCACCCCGAAGCCTTGACCTGACCTCCCTGCGGCCCTCGGCATGGCCACCAACGCCCCTCGGCCCTGCAGCCTGGAGGGCTCCCACCTCCCCTGCCCGCCCAGCCTGCCAGCCCAAGGACTCCTCTGCTGTCGGGGTTAGGGGGGTGGGAGGAGTGGGGGTGAACCTACCACCAGACTCCCCGAGCTTCCTGGTCCTGACTGGACCCAGGGCCACCCCTCGGGTACCGTCCTGAGTGGTTCCCTTCTATCACTTCCTACAGAATTTTCAGTTTATCTGAAGAATCACTGGCTTCACATCTGTATTAAGAGTTTCTTGTGGTATTTTGTCCTGAACTCTGAGGGCCAGTTGAATGAGATACATTTACAGACACTCCATTACAGCCTGTGCTGTCTCATGCCCACACCACCTCAGCGAGACACGTCCAACTCCTCTGCCTGTCCTGTGGACTCGGGCCGGACTGCAAGTTCCGGGTCATCTGCTTCTGGTGCACAGGGGCCCCCGGCCCTGACCTGGCCCCTGGGGACAGTGTGGCAAGTGTCGGCCTGTCTAGTGAGGCTGTTTCCTGTCGCGTCAACAGTCAGGGACCCCGGAGACGGCCCCCGGGAGGCCACCACTGCCACCCGGCTGCACAGCATGTCCAAAGGCCAGAGAGCGGAATCTCTTTTAAGGTGTCACGTACTTCCCCAGGATTCAGTCACGAGAGTGTGTTTACCTCATAGAGCCTTCCGACCTGCAGGTACTGGCGGGGAGGGCCTCACAACACAGCAATCAGAGCCATCCTCGCCGCACACGCGAACGTGGCAGCTTCCCACCAACGCGAGATCGCAAAGTTGCTCCAACACAGTCAGAACAACGTTCCTTTTGTGTATAAATGGTCTGACTTTCCCATATTACGGGCTTCGTAAACAGGGGGGCTTCCAAACTTGCGAAGAGGTGGTTAGATACAGTAGTGATAAATATGTTCCATCGTCTGCACTGCTCTTCATTTTATCCAAGGGAGGAGGCCTTTGTGTTGCCACTGGCGGTCTGGGGGAACCCCAAAGACAGGTGAGGTTTAAGACACATTGCCAGTTTTTCCAAGTCTGGATCTCAGGCCTGGATTTTGGGCAGGCACATCGTCACTGTTGACCACACACAAGACATGATGATCACGTTGGCTAGAGTTTTAACCAATCCGGGTGACAGCATCTAAAACGAGCACAGCACTGAATGATTACTGGCAGCGTTCGCCATCTTGGAAACAAGGACCATCTGGTCAAACAGAGTCAAGTCGTGGTGGGAACCTGAGGGGAGAAGGGCCCAAATGGGGATAAGCCTGGGGGACAGAAATGCACTCCCTGACCCAGCAGAGGAAACAACAGCTTTGCTTTTTGTTTAGAATATGCTGTGCATGTAAAAGACAACTCTTTTTCTCTTTATTATATAATATATACGCTTCCTCCACTTAACGATATTGATATACCTCTCTATGAATGTTTATTATAAGTACACAAATATTTATACTGTTATTGACAAATTTAAACGGAGAGCTTTAGATTACGTAACTGTATATATCACACAGCGTATGTTTTAACTTCACCATCCAAATTAGACGTAATTTGGACAGAGAAGGGCTCTTTTTAGATAGTAACACACTATTTCTGTAATCGCTCTCTTTGTGAATTTCACTATCTTCAGAAACGCTCCAGGTATCTGCTGCGTAACAAGCACCTTAAAACCACAACCCGGGGGCAGGGATGAAGAGGTGGTGCACAGGGGATCTTTCAGAGCAACGAAACTGTTCTGTATGATCCCCCAGTAGGGGGATTCACGGCACTATGCGTTTATCAAAATCCAATGAACTGCATGGCACAAAGAGGGAATCTTAATGTGTGAAAAGTCTAAACAACTCATTTAGGTGGTCAGGTAATCAGAATGTGGCCAAGAAATCTGGCTGACTCACAAACGGGGCAACACCACTGAAGGGGTGTGAAGTACCAACCTGAGGGCCTCGGGAGTCAGCAGAGCCTGTGACTGAAGGCAGAGGGGC